AAATGTCAAAAAATATTCAAAAACTTCATTTTTTTCATATGAAAGAAAAACACTCGATTTTTCAATAAAATTAACTTTGTTCATTATTTGTGCTGTCGCAGACGTTTTGAAATGTGTTCATTCGGTGCCGCATGAAAAACTGCATCCAACGAACACATTTCAAAACGTCTGCGACAGCAAAAATAATGAACAAAGTTAATTTTATTGAAAAATCGAGTGTTTTTCTTTCATATGAAAAAAATGAAGTTTTTGAATATTTTTTGACATTTTCCGAGTATTTTTTTGAATTATTAATCTCAAAAAGATGACTCAAAATATTTATTGAAACATACAGTTTTGTACAGCTCGACAAGCTCTATTAAACCATGTAAAAATATCGAAGAAAAATGTTTTACTCCATTTTGAATTACTGGTACATTACTTTTCTATACCAAAAAAGTATCAAATTTCTGAAAATTTTTTAAGTTCGACGTCAAAAGGTCTTCATAACTTTTACTATTTAATATCAATAAATCCAGTTATTGACGCGCTTTAATTCGGTATAAAATACATTTGTGATATCATTGATACTTTAAGTTGTAGAGGGGGGCGTAATTGTTTTTTAACACCCTGTAGAGAACGCTGTGTTTTTAAACACCATCAACAGGAAAATGTTAAGCTGAAGATAATAGCTAATAGAGATGGAGCATAATTCGTTTCATGAAGAAACAATAAAAAAAATCATATTTCATATATTTTGACTAACATGCAAACAAACATTCACCTATTTTAAATTATATGATGTCCACAACTATCTCATGCTAATGCTGTAAACACGCCAATGATTTTCATAGTGATTGTCGATTATATTCATAACTTTTTACAAAAGATAATATCACTTTTTGATATTCATCATTTCAAATAAGATCTAGTTTGAACTATCTTATGAAAAGAGTTTTAATGCTTCTACTATAGAAATGAAAGAACCACTCGAAACTCATTACTACGAAAGCCTTGCGAAGTAATTACATTTTCGAAAAGTACACTTTTGCTGGTTCTATCCGTGGGACACCTTGTTTGATATCAGATGTATACTGCATTATTAAGATGCTCTTATATGAGTAATAATAAATGATACTACTTTAATACATATGCGGCCGTGTACATTGCATTTTATGCATTCATCCGTGCACATCGATAATATGAGTATCACATGCATTGTATATTTCTTTTATATGGTAAAAAAACCATCGTTTTGCTTGTTCTTCTCCACGTTACTCGCAAGCTGAATTGGCGGTGATGCATAATCAACCGAGCAGTTAGAGAAAAGAAAGTATACTAGTATCGCTTCATTTGTTTTTTTTAATCTATCACACACATTTCGACGCTTCATCGGCACTAATACCCTTTTGAACTAAAAAGAATCAATGAGTATAGTTGAGTAACTTTTGAATGAATTGAGACAGAACTGCGATTTTCACCATTGGAAACAGGAGATCAAGATGCATCGAACCATACAAATAAAAAAATTTTCTAAATAGTTTCCTGACAGTTGTGGTCAAACATTTTCTAAAAATTGTTTTCTAGTCATACGTTAGAAAAGCGATTTTTCTTGAAAAAAATACAGATACTTAAATTTTTCGATAATTTTGTTCAAAAAATTGGCCAGTAAATTGCATTCCAATGACTGCGAATCTCACTGGTAGTGGTTAGGAATAAGATTTTTATGTACTATTGTAGCTCTTCATTTTGAGGTTCTAGCACATTTCTGAAAAACCAATAAATTAATATCGGCATTATGTAAAGCATGGTGTTTTTTGAGAAGCTTCATGTAAAAGTGTTAGGAAAGTATTGAGAACTATGTTTTCATATACGCTTCGATGCGTCTTCATCTCCTCTGTCCAATAATGAAAACCGCAGCTCTCTTGCTCAATTATTTCAAAAGTTTTTCAAAAAATATCCACCAGCCTTTTTTCGAAATGGACATTAGTTTCTCGCTAAATATAAGGATTCTCATTGAGCCTAAGTTCAAATGAGTCTCTAAAGTAAGTCAATATATTCATTGTCTGCGGCAGTTCCGCTTTCTACTAACAATACGAATCCGACTAATCATTATCATTCTAGTATAAATTTTGAACACAGCTTCAATCTTGGTCCGGCAGCCACTACCAGTTGTCGTTCTAGTTCTGATTGCACTATTAATGCAGAAGGTAGCTTCAGTCTCGATTTTAGAGCTCCTATCACTTCTCGCACCACTTCCAACTTCAGTATTCATCTGGAAAACGACCCGGCTCGAGACCGTACAGACCTTGGCGATTATCGTCCTGGTTGCAACCAAGATATCAATGCAAGATACAGTTTAATTGTCATAAGACTAATACTAGTGCTTCTCAGAGTTCTCCTATCTGTTTAAAGCAAGTGGCACCTTCAGTAACCGCCGAGAGCAGTGTTCAGTTCATCATCTGACTCTGATCTCGGTATCGTTGAGGAACACGACTTTATCCAAGACTCTGAAGCTCCTACCAACTCTCATCTGCGTTACCATTTTGGTATCAAAGCTATATACGACCTCAATCTAGAATCTAGAGCTCCTGTCAATGTTTGATCGAGTTCCTATTACTGTACTATTGCAGGATACAGTACGAATTCCACTCTAGATTTTCTGACCCTTCTTGTCCCGCTTGCAACTTCATTATGATTGTAGGACATTGTTTGATTTCAGTCTCTAGAGCTCCTTCCGATTTTGGACTGAGTTATCAACACGATATGAATTCAGGACCCGATTTCATTACAGCCTTTGCAGTCCTTGACAGTTCTCGGTCGAGTTTTCATTTCGGTATCAATATGGAATACTGCTTCAGTCTCATCCTAAAACTTCTACCACTTCTCCTCAAACTTCTGACTTGGATTTCGATTCGAGACACTGTTTCAGTCCCGGCTATAGAAGCATCACTAGATTTTCTCTCGGTGCCTATCAATGTAGGAAACTAGAGACGCCTGTAGTAACAGCGTAGAACCACAATCAGCTCTATGCCTGATTCCAATCTCGCTCTTACTTCAGAACACCGCTTCGAGTCAAGCGGTAAAACCCTATCTATTCTCGTTTCGCTTCTCACCTTGATATCCATTCGAAGCACGGCTTCGGTTCATCCAGAGAGCTCCTTATAGCTTCTCAAAAGAAATAATTTTTTAATAAACATTGAGCCATTTAAATAAATCTTCATAGCTGTTGAAGGATTTATAACTGTTTAAAATATAGCGCATTTATAATATTATCGTGACTATTTAAAATTTAGTGTTTCTAAAACAAAATTATTGCAATTCAAATCTTGCTGATCACTATTTAAATAATATGGATAGCTGCTGCATGATTTAAAATACTCTTGTTTTTTCTTCCGTTTGTCTCCACATAAATCCAATCATTTGCTTCTCTAAATACTCAATATAAACACAGAACTGCTATCTAAATAAGCAGATTATCATAATTGTGAATGTTACAACGAGTTAAGTTGTGAGAAAAAGAGACCATCAAACACCCATACACGTATCCAAACCTACACTCACACTCTCACCAACACTGATACTTACACCCACATCCATTCGCACTGTTAAATGTTTGAAGCAAAATAAACTTTTCTTTATTTATCCTTATCTAGGCCTGACGATACAGTTGCAGTTTTGAATAGTTTTTGAGATCGTAATAATTTAGATTTGTAGTATACTATGTTAGAAACAGCCTCACAACACATATGTCTTTATCCTTGCCACTTCCTATAGAAAATGGTTTCCTGAATTTATCAGTTGCATACAATTCTATTCCTCGCAGTACTCACTATAACAACAGAAAGCCAATTCTCCAGCAGTTTGTTTTTGTGGAACTCACATATATTTTCCAAGACGATAATTAGTGCAAGTTTTAAGGTCGATTTTTTGCGGCTTTTCCTCCCCATTACAGACCATAGTAATCCCATCAAAAAAGAAAAAAAACCTGCTTGAAATATAGAAATGAAAACAACAGCATTTGCTGGCGATCGATTATCATTAGAAAGAACTATCGTCTTTTAGAGAATTTGAACATTACATATTTTGCCATTAGTATAATGAAACTAGAGATATATGAGTTTTACCTTGCAGCCCTAAAAGATCTCCGCTAACAAGCGTTTTTTCTGCCTCTCAGTACAGTATTTTTTGCAAGATAAAATATCAATGAAAAATGTGATGACAAGCAACTTCTCAACTATTTGTTTTAGCTATCCGTCAAAAAACAAAAGATCTAACATGAAATGATGCATTTGACGTGTCGTAAAACAAAAATTTTGCTTTGGTTTATATTTGGTTCTCTTACGATACTTACGCTTTATTATTTGCAGCTTTTACCGGGAGCTTATCGTCTCTACAGCATTTATGATACGACGTTTTCAAATGAACTCTCACTACATCAAAGTACAGAGAAAGTAAATGACGCAACTTTGTCAAGACGTTCGAATGTTCAGTCAGCTTGGACTTGTACGGGTAATATGAATTATGAATCTGAATGGCGAACGAGAACTTGTGCATTTAAAAACATTTGTTATAATAAAAAGAAAAAAGTATTTCAGTTTTATCGTAAGCCAGGCAGTATTAAAACGCCAATTTTATTTGAGCCTAAACTAGGTCATATATATGATTTTCATGTAAATAATCATGGCTTTGTTAATCTTTATACGCGCTCTTCTCCTCGCGAATCGTGGGGACCAACAATTGTTGAAGAATGGTTACCGTCCGCTGATAAAGTACCTTATTTAGAGCATGTTCATGTTTTATTTACGCATTGGTATGCTCCTTTTAATCCTGGTCATGTCATTTGGGAAGACATAGGATCTACTTATTTTGCTATGGTTCGATTAGATGAATATGATAGAAATGCTGTTCTTCTTGAATATCGACGTTTGCCAACGAAAGGGGACTCATATTATCGCATGTTTCAAAATATAATTCCTGCTTTTGCTGCAAAAGTCGATGGTCTTCATAATTATATGAATAGTTTCAATTCGCCTCTTGTATGTTTTCGGACTATTGTAGCTGGGGGTGCAATACCAATGTTTTCTATTAGCAATGAAGCATATACAAATGGAAAAGAAAGAATTCTCTATGACTATCGTACTGCTATCCTAAGACATCATGGTGTCAATATATCTCATTTGCCGTCACGTCATCGTATTGTACTAGTCAACAAAACTCACTCAATACATCGTACTGTACGTGGAATTGCAAATCTTGCCGAAATTAAACACTTTATATCTTCGACATATCCAAGGATACAACTTGATGTTATTGACTGGAGTAAATATACATTTACTCAACAGATGCATGAACTATACAAGACAACTATATTAATCACACCGTGTGGTGGTATCTCAACAATAATACCATTTTTACCTAAAGGAGCGCATGCAATCGTTACGGATTTCTACGTCAGTAAAGAAGCATATCGGAAGCCTGCGAGATATGGAGTAGGAGAATCAGCTTCGATGGATGGGGGTTTTTTGAATTATTTTCCACATGTTCACAAGCTTTACTATCAAGTTCGCAGTGCAGACGATTATGTTTTAAACTTTCCTGGAGCATTAAATACCCGTTATGATGCGTCAGTCAAAATTAAGATGACTCGACTAAAGGAACTAATTGACACTGCCTTACAAGTATCATCCTTAATTCAATAATTCATTGTTTTCAGACTTTTGTGCAAATTGTTGTTCCTTCACTAAAAACATTATTGACAATTTCCAATCTATCTTTTCTGTCAAAAATGTAAACATATAGATATACCCTATTGACATGTTATGAGAAGAAAAATGCAATTAATAACAAAAGAAAATTCAGCTACAGTGGACTCAGAAATCTTAAACTTAGCTGTTTCTCATAGGGATAAGACCATTTGTTCGCGAAAACAATTACATAAAACCAATAATAAATAATACATAAAGGGTGTCCCAGAAGTTCTAAAGCAATTTCAAAATTCATCGTTCTCGCATACAACATAATCGAACTCTGCGAAATTTTGGGAGATTATTTGACATGCTTAATACTACATAACTCCAAAGTTTCAGGTCTATAGATTATACTGAGGATGAGAACCAGTAACAACACTAATCCACACGCAAAACGCACCACGAGATGCAATGTGAAAAGCTCTACAATCTATAAAGCAAAATTTATTCGAATTGTGTAGTTTTTGTTTGCAAAAAAAGCACAATTCTAGGCGACCTATTTCCGATGCTAGGAAAAAAAGAAATTACTCTTGTACCAAAAAGTATCTTCTTTTTACCATCGAAAATGGACCACATAGAAATTTAGTGTTCTTGGAAACAAAAAGTACATAATTAAAATAAGCTTTGCTTTATAGATTGTAGAGCTTTTCACATTGCATGTTGTGGTATATTTTGTTTTATTTATACAACATATTAAGTGATCAAAAATTCAATCGCAAAGTACGACCATTTATTATGCCCTATCCGTTAAGATGATCAGGAAAATTGGCAGATAGTACATGTTAGTGTTGCTAGTGGTTCTCATCCGTAGTATTACCTATACATCTGACAATTTGAAGCTATGTAATACTAGCATGCCTAATAATCAAATCAGAGAAAGTTTCAATGAGTTCTTTTGTATTGAATGCGATAACGATAGACTTTGAAATTACTTTAGAACTTCTGGGACACCCTTTAATATATACATATGTAGTCTAGGCAAGTTTGTCATCAGCGATGAGCCTTCCCTAGACTAATTGAGCAACCAATCAGTCATATTGCTTGATACTTTTCATCTGTTTTACCTAAAACGAACACACATGAAAACTCTTCAGAGAGTTTGTATTATATGTGCACACAATAGACGAAAATCTAAAAAGAGGACTGATTCATGCTATGCATGTAAAGTCCAACTAGTTATGTTTCTATTAAAAAAAGTCGGTCCTCCAGAGATTAAGTGTCATTATTGTCTTAGTTTTTCTTTCTATATGGGTTAAGCCTATTACAACCACTTGTCATATTCATACTTTAAATAATATACGCTGATACCTGGTATCAACGAACCATCGTTTATTTTAGCTTTTTGAATAATGCAAGAAGCATTTCTCTTTATTTCGAACTAGCCTGTAAAAAAGAATTGTTTCTTCTCTTCTGACGTTTGCAAATATATAATAGTGAGCAAGAACGATAATAGCAGAAATATCTATGTCCTGATGAAAGTCTTGATGGATATAAAAGAATAAATTGAGAATAAATTCGTAGAGTGTGGGTGTGGGTGTGGGTGTGGTGTGGTGTGGATGTGGGTGTGGTGTGGTGTGGATATGGGTGTGGTATGGGTGTGGATATGGACTAGGATGGTTGCTCACGCCTACACCGACACGCAAACCCACACCCACACTCACACCCTAATCTTGAGAATGCAAGAAACAAGGGGAATAAAAACGAAAAATGTTAAAAATGTTTGCATTAAATAACCAGCTGAAGCAGTAGTCACATAAGAACGGAATAGAAAAACATCCAAAACAAAACAGTCATCCAATGTTGGGCTATTGTGATGAAAAATCTTTCCAGAGATCTAGGGCATATACACAATTCATTGAATAATTCTTAATGACAGATGTCGAAACTGTTTTGCCTACTTTTCTTCCACTAAAATGAAGTGAAAATTTGTTTGATGCTTATAAATAAGTTGTGTCAATCTAAAGGATAGTTCAAAATTGACTCTCTCGAAGCATATTTTAAGTGAACAGTCTTAAGAAATGTCTTTATATTTATATAAATAAAATCTAGTGTGTATGCTACAAAATCGTATTTTTCGCTGGAATAAAATCTAAATTAAAGAAAGCTCTTATGAAGGTGTCGATCTTCATAAGAGGGAGTGATAGACGAGCAATTTTTTATTTTAATCGTGTTTAATGTCTTCTAAAAATAAATTTATAGGCTTTTTCATTTAAACAATAAAAACGAAGTGTATTGTGGCAAGTTCGTTGAGCTAAGTATAGAACAGTTAGTATTTTACATTCAACTCTCGATTCGCATCGGACATTCCAATCCAGGGCTCGTGTGACGTGTGGTAGTCCCATGGGCTCTTCGTGTTCAAATTATCAACTGTTTTAATCGCAGTTGTCAAATATAGTCCCTCTTTTGAACCATAATTTGATTCGGCATCTTTTAAGGCACAAATGATCTAAACGAGATGAGGTTCTGTTGCCAGTTTTGTGTGTAATGTTTGCTCAACAACATATTCAAAATTGTACTGGTCCTTCTTTACCTTATAATCATGAATTAAACGTTCGTCGATTTTTGGTTGCCGCTGACGGATATAGATAACGAGCGATAGGTAGAAGAAAGAACACAGAAGTCTTTTGGCAGTGATCCCATCTAAGTAGGGTTGAATCTTTCGAATGACATTTATTCCTGTCAGAAGATGCAGAAGAGCGAAATCGAAATCAATTTGATCCGGTTTATGTGTGGCAGCAAATGTATAAACAGACATGTCAAATAATTCTTCGATCGCCTTGTGAAGATCATTTGGCATCTGCCACTGGTTGTAGTAGAAAAGAAGGAAGGTTTCGTACGTTAATATGGAAGTGACCGGAAGCTGTTTTTCAAACCTTGGTGCATTATCATCTAATGGAAGGTCCTTCATTATTTGAAGAGCCCGTTTTGTTCCATTTGTCGGAGGCTTGATGTTGGTGGTCACCTTATGTAAAAGGTCAGAGCATACGGCAGTCATAGTCAATGCTTCACATGCTACAGGTCGACTGTTTAATTCGATAGCGTAGCTCATATGAATCATCGAGTGAAGCAATCCACAAAGAGCCGCATCGATAAGCGGCGGTCCTTTCGTATCATCAAGAAGTATTTCAAAAAAAGCTTTTTTCCAATCACCTTGTATTGGTAATTCTTTATCGAAGAAACTTCGGTAGGCCGAACAAAATTGAGTATTGCCAAGCGAATCATACCAATTATCTTTGGTGATTTCGTGCGGCGAGGGCTGATACTCATCAGTATAATGACGCATAGTACTGTCATAAATTTCTTTCAATTGCTTATCGCTGGCGCCTAACGATACTAATGAGCCAAGATGATGAGCATTGTGTGAATGATATCGACCCTTGTTCTACATCACTTGATATTGCTCGAAATTGGTCTTCAAAAGCTCGTGGAGCGTGGTATGCATCACGACGGCAATGTTGCAATGGGTAAAGCGTAATTATATATTTTGTTACCTGTATAGTATTTACCTTTATGTCTCTTTGCACAGACTGATAAGTATGTTGTGTATAGGTAGCTGTTTATATTCTATTCTTCTATAAGCATTCTCTAGTGCGAATTACATCAAAAAGCACATGGGAGAACACGAAAGCAAAGAAAAATATTAAGAGAAACAAATAGATAATAATTTATAGAGTAGATGTAAATACATGTGAGTTACATCATACTTTTATGATTTGTTGTTGATGTAGAAATTGCAAAACGCAAAAAAGAATGGCAAACAGATCAGTGTGTTTATCATAAGCGTGTGGGGTGTGAGGGTATGGGCGTGGATGTGGGTGTGGATGTGAGGGTGGGGTTTCTGGGTGTTGACATTGAAGAATATGATATCAACACCCACGCCCACACCCTTCGTGGATTAAAATACAAGAGCATAAGATTTTTTGACTGTTTGGTTTTCATTTTAATAATATTAATATCGATAGCAAAACCATAAAAAAATTGAAAAGTTCATTAGTGTATTATCAAAAGATCCAACCAAAGTTTATCAACAATGATTTTATGAGATACACATACGGCACAATGTATCATCCTTTTTAAAACGTGTCTATATCAATCTTATGTTCATATCAATAGATATATATTGGAATTTCATCAATTATTCAATGTTTCTATGCCTAACAAATAGAACATAATGTTGTCAAAATATATATTCTATATAAGAGAATAACTATAGTCAACTTATTATTTTTTAAATATATTAAATAATATTCTAGACTTTATTCTTATCTTTTTACATTTTTGCATGATGAATATCTAGTTTTAGCATATCTTTCGTTGCATGTTATGCAACATTTTAAAAAGCAACAACATTACTATCGAAACTATTTGTAGATATAATACTGATGTCTATTTTCTGTAGTATCGCTAAGAATGAGGGATACTTTTATATTAGTTGATGATGATGGATAGGTACCCGTGTCGCGAAGAAAACAAACTCAACCGAATTTGATGATCTCGATTGATGTCCAGAAACCCACTTGAAAGAGTTTAAACCTAACAGGACCAGCAACGACTTTAAAACCGGCGAGAAAAGATACTACTATACTTGGATCTGGACCTGAAAGATTGCAAAGCGTTCGAATCTATTTTGCAAATAACATGTTCCCTATTTAAACATTTCAGCAATCTTATTTTTCAACTTGATTTTATTGATTGCTATTTGTATACTTATTCTTTGATGTTGTTTTCTTTGTAATTAGATTCATTCTTATTATACTCTTGAGTCATTGAAAGAAATTATTTTTCAAAACAGAAAAGTAGCGGATATCTATTTATAGTCATCACAGTATCACATTCAAATTATAGTTCAACGTATATTTTTCATCATTGACTTGTTGTACGGTTCGCCAAAGAACATTATTTACTTTGTTCTCAATAGAAGTTGAAATATTTTGATAACCTATTTATTTGATACTTTCTAAAGAGATGTACATCATTAATTAGAAATATCAGATTATATTTTCCTAGATGAGAAGCTGACGAATTGAAATCAACTAACAAGAGGATACATCAGAGTTTTTGTTTCAGGATCGTCTTCAAATTATCTAATTCCAATGACATCTATTCTCTTTTTATAATCATAGTTAAATGGATCGTTTCGATTAACAATTTAGGTAATAAACAAAAATCATAATTTCGTTTTCTTCTTCTGAATTTGAAAACGATTTATTGTAGTCAATATTGCAAAAGAAGAAGTACAGCGGACATGCTCAAATGATTTGTTACGGTCAAACAATTTGTAAATCAACTATACTTCCACTTTTGTTATATTAACTACAATACATTTCCCAATAAAAACTTAAGAATTCCCAACAAATAAATTATTAAGAAATCTGTGATACAATGCTCCAAATATGATAAAATAATTTATATGAATAGACAAATATAAGAGACTTTTGTGGAAAAAAGAAGTATCTAGTGGAACATGATTCTAAACCATTTGTTGGAGTGTTAAATGAAAAATTTCTCACATCGACGTTTAAATTATAATTTCCTACATAACTTGATTGTTTCACAAGATTCATTCCTAATATAATCAGCTAACATGTACTCAATTTCTCTCATTGTTTCATATTAATCAAATTAATTTCTTGATCTACAGACAACGAATAATAGAAGCATTTATTGTTGCTCGATGTGACTATAAAATATTAGCTAGTCGTTCTCTTTTAAAAAGTAACTTGATATTAATTCTACAGCTTCATGCTACCAATTTTTAGCGAAGGATAATGTGTTGAACAGTTCTATGACGTAACGAAGATCATTCCATCATATTCAAAGCAAGCAAACCAAAAGATAGCTTCCTATTCGTTTCAAATAGGCATGATAGGTTTCTGTTACCTGAAGAAAACGGAATTGAACTGAATTCGATCACACTATAGTGTCAAAACGATTCAAGGCATGAGTCTGAATGAACTAGGATATACAGATACCACATTTAGATCTTAGCCGAAAAAGACGAATAGCGATAACTACTTTTTTTGTCACATGAAATCTTCATTATGATATTGTGATTTTGCATTTTAAAAAAGTAACAATGAGAATCAAATTAACAATAAAACAAGATGAGGGGTGTGGGTGTGGGTGTGGGTGTGGGGTGGGTGTGGGTGTGGGTGTGGGGTGGGTGTGGAGTGGGTGTGGGTGTGGGTGTGGGTGTGGGGTGGGTGTGGTTTTATGTTATCATAGTGCACACTCACACCCACACCCACACACCCACACCCGAGCATATTATATTGGAATAATTGCTCGTCATCCTAAATTCGAAACATTGTCATATAAGGGAACAGTATTTCGTGGTATGATGATAACTAATAATGATTTAAGTCAATATCAAATAGGTACAAAAGTTTTAAATAAAACATTTTCCTCTTCATCAAAATCACTGGATATAGCATTAGGATTTCTTAATGATAATCCTCATAAGGATGATCGATTAAGTACAATATGTATTTATGAAATACGCTATGAACGAATCGCATTAGATCTTCAAGATATATCATTGTTTAAATACGAAGAGGAAGTTTTAATTTTACCGTATGTAGCATTTAAAATAATTGATATTCACATCAATGAAGATAAATCACCTAGAGTTGAAATCGAACTGAAAGAATGCGAACCATGGTAAATTTCTATAACGATTGACACTTCGATTTTCCAATAACCTTTTTTTTTATTATGTAATAAATAAAAATTGAAGTTAAGAAAAAGAAATTTTCAAATCTACTACGTTTCATAGAGAGTCTTTGACTTTTTGTTGATGTACAATAGGTTCATCATTGAATTATAGCAATTTTTATATCAGATCTAAAATGGAATGTATATTGATAGCACATCCATCTAGCGTATATTCTTTATTGCTTTTTTCATACAAACTTTTAAATAGCACTATCTAAAAGATAGTACCAACACTAGGTTATTTCTGGCAAAGCATCATAAGAAATATTCTGTAATTGTCAGATCTCGCATATTTCTTTCTCGTCTCACTGATTTCCATTGTTCTCGGACCAAATACGGTGATTTTCTCAACCATTTTCGGTCAAGTTCACTTGTTTTTGAAGATTGACATTACGCATCCGTGAAGAAATATTCAAGATATAAAATTTTTTAAAATAGAGTGTGAGTATGAACCTGAATGCGTATGAATGTTCATTTCTTTTTGTAGGTCCACTCACACCCTATCAAAAAGCATATTTTTTGAATCAATTTCTTGCGCAGTTTCTCAAATCTGACATATTTCAAAGAAATCTGGTGATGATGCCTGAGATTATTGTAAACGGATAATTCTGAAAAAAAATCTATTTCACAAAACATTTATTTCTTTTTAAATCTTTTATTAAACAGTTAATAGCAGATATAAAATTTTTCAATAAAACTGATGCTGATAGATGTATTCAGAAATCTTTGAGAAATGCAGATTCTTGCAAGTTACAAGAACTTTTTTTTAAGAGTATGCGATTTTCAATTTTTTTCTCGCTTTTACATTCATGCTAATAAAATATACTCGATACAAAAGTTGTAATTCAGACATTGCCCTTTTCATTAAAAAAACTTGACAGATAATGTGACGTCACGTAAAGTGATAACAAACCGATCATTCGAATCATGGTCATATATAAAGATCTTCTCTGCTAAAATGAGATCGACTGAATACGAAACAGTAAATGATAATTTATTGTCATTCTTGTTGTTAAAAGTACATTTCTGAGCGAGAATAGATAGATATAGAGCGTATGATTATGAATAGCTTAAATACAAGAGTATATTGACTGAAAAAGAAAACAATGAATTTGAACTCATCAAAAAAATATTTCTCACAAAAAAATGAAGATAGAAAGAGAATGTCAATATCGTGAAAAAATTATTATAAGCAAATTGTCAGCCAATTATCCTGAAAATGTCCCAAAAATGGAGTCGATCTACATTTCAATAACGTCCTAGCAGAAATCCATAGTTGAATATTTGAACAATAGGTATCCTTATGGATCCAATTTGTTTTGAGTCTTGCTAGATTAGGCAAATGTTTAACATCGAGTAGAACGTTGAGACAATCATGGTATTCAGTAGTCGGTTCAAGTCGGCATTCGAGCGATCGAAGATTAGGAAAGTGTTGTACGAGAGCGGTGATAAGAGTCAACGGCATGAATTCTGCATCTTTCATGTTCAGATATGTCACATTGGAATAAATAATTGAATGTTCTAATAAATGTTTTGTTGAAAGCAATGTCAATGACTGTATGTTTCGACTCACAGGCGATGGAACCATTGCGATGTTACTTGTGATCAAATGACGAAGTCGACGAAATTTAACGTAGTCATCATGAGAAACACTACTTCGTGATAGAAGATCGAGCGTATGAATATTTTGGAAACGACATGCTAAATTAGTCTGGGGTTTATCAATAGTGAGATCTTCAACATTCGGACAGCTACTGACAGTGTCATCATCGGCCAGCATCGATGTGCACAGTTCTTTGAACGGCCAAGGAACTGTATACAGGATTTTAACGTTATTGTAAGTAACGAATTGACAAGCCATCGACCAGTATTCGTTCATCGTGTCAAAAGTCTTCGAAAATATCGATAAATGAAAATCATAAATTGTAAGATAGAACATTTACTTGCTTATCGATGTTCTCCATGGTCTGAATGCAGCAATGAAAGTGTTGAAGACAAGGCATATACTGACGAATCACCATGTCGATGTGATAGCCATTGACGAATTGCTTGTCGTTGGTGATCCATTGTCGTATATCGAGCGTAAAGTCTTTGACTTGATTTAGAGGCATGACAATATCGCGTAAATGATCGAAAGTCATTGCCACATTCTTATAAGTTGTTAAATGAAATGCAATCAAATGAGACATGAATCGATGTGACCACGAGCGTCGCATTAAAGATTGCTTAGAAACATCAGACTGCCATAAAGTAACATCGAGCAAGATTAATTTCGGTGCAAGACCATCGAAGAGAACAAAAAGATCGTCAACTTGTTGCAATGAGATATTCAGGTGTGTAAGATTCATGTTCGGATGTAATTGTTTATCGAGAATAATACCTTCATCCATGATCAATTGAAGTTCAGTAAGTGTATTAAATGTGCTATTGAATGCAATATTGCGAAGCGTCTCGATTGTCGAATAGTCCACTATGTTAACGTTTGTATCCAATGATGATTTCATGATAATACACAAAGATTGCAAGCCATTGCATTGTGATACACTCGTATTAATATAATCAAGATCACTTGGAGTGCATTCCATTAATGACAAACGTTGAAGATATTTGAAATCAAATTTTGTCGATGGATGACACGTATCGAAAAAGATTTTGATTTGTGTAGGCATCCAATCATTGTTAACAATTAGACTTGATGGTTGAAGTTGTTTTTCGATTAATAACATTAGAAAATATTGAAATTCCGTATAGGAACATTCGGTCAGGTCAATGTCTTCACGATATTTTGATATGCATGAGAACATGCGATCATCGTAATTGAGAAATGCTTGAAGCACATGTACGGGAGTCAAATAATTGCAGATGATGAGAAGAATTTCGTTGGGTAAATCGTCAAAACGAGTTACACATTGGATTTGAGCATTGACTTCTTCTGATCGTTGTTCAGTCTAAATGAAGTATATCGATAGAATCATTTGTTTCTCTAAATATACATACTTTCAACACGCTCATTCCCTGTGTAGAGTATTTTTGGGTTCTCTTCTTTGTCAGTTTATTCATTAGTGCACTAGTTAATATGAAATTGGCACGAATAGATTATATGCATCTTTTTAGCAACATATATGCTAGTAATATAGGCGGACGAGAGTCAGTCTATATAGGCGATCGTGAAATATTCCACAACGAACAGCGGGCATTGTTATTTATCTTCACGATACATTCAAATTGGCGGAAAAGAAAATGACTAAAATTTTCCGACTATCGATTATGGCTAAGATCGTACATTAATGTGAACAAAGAAAAACATTTGTAAATGATGAAATAAGCAAAAATTTCTAGCGAATCATGTCTAACCTTAAAGAATAAAGTAACACTACACAAAATGTCATAAGAATGTATAATGTTTTGACAATGCAGAACTCGATATCTCTTGTACAAGGTAGAACGACAACCTTTGTTTTCATTCTACACCGAGTGAATCCCATCTCATCCACTTAAGGGACGACACGCTGACTCAGGAAATCGATTTTTGAGTTCGAGACAAAATAAAATATCCTGAAATGTCTTTCTTCAGAATACGTATAGATTGTGCACAAGAAAGTTCTTTTTGACTAGTATTTTATTAGTTTTCAGCGATTTCTAGCGGTTATGATAAGACACTTTCAACGTCAAAGTCCTAGGTAGGTATGGTTTGCAAATTATATACCATTATTCGTTTATCTTCATCTTCATCGAGTCGAATGAAAATCACAATATAATTGACTAAAATTATCGAATCTCGGCATGGATACGTTCTATCATCTAGTGCCGAAAGAAATTTTGTAATTTTTTATCGATTTCCTTTTTTCTTCGATAAAAGAAAGGAAAAAATATAATACCTCAGCATGATTCATCTTATCATTATTTCTTGTATTTTTACTCACTATACGACTTCGTAGTTGCTTATATAAAATAAAGCAGATATTCTTTTCCCTTTTCTTATTGATCATGATCCTCTACTATTTAAAAAGACATTTTTTAATGACAAATTAGATAAATTCTTTGTTTACGAATGAAATTAAACTATGAGAGTGATCAGATATCTTTTCACACCTATATCAAAACTCTTTTCGTGGTGGTGGTTGTAACGAATATATTTGTGCTTCAGTTGAAGAAAATGTTTTCAAGCCTAATGAACTTTTCACTTCCAATAAGCATCTAATAATTATTGGCTTTTTTAGAAATTTGGAAAAGAAATTCGAATTAATTCATTTTAAATAGCATCTCTTATTCAAAACTAAATGATTGAAATAATAATCTTTTTTAAACTAACCTCATATATAATAATATAAATAAATATTAACTTGTTCTTTTATTTAACATTTTTCTACAGAAACACATATCATATTCAGTGGAGTCATTTTCATTGTAAATATATAAGATGTGGATCTTTTCTCCGACAAAAACCTACACCCTTTTATATAGTAGTAGTTGTTTCACAATTAAAAGAATAAGTCAAATATATTCACTGTCTTGTAAATAAGAACTCACGTTATCATTAGCCTTTTGTATCTACTAAAAGAAAAAAACGATGTTTACATTTTTGGATTTGGGTGTATGGTTTAGAGTGGGACTATAAAGAGAAATGAGCACCCACACCTTTTTCGTTCAGAATCAGATTTTCTATCGAGTGGTCTATATCGATCATGAAAAGACTGTAAGTTCATCATAAAAATAGGTGATGATGGCCACCTATTTTTACTCAGTATTAGTCAAAAAGAAGCCTATCTAGTGGACTGAAAATTAAGCTGAGCAAGCTTAAACTTACAGAAATGACGTAAGCTATAGGCTTTACAATCGCTAAAATGTATAGAGGAAAAGTCTTTATTTTCTAATTCGGTCGAATTTGATCCAAAACGCCCCACTCCTTTTTGATTCTTTGATGTTATAATTGCCTTATTCATATATATGTATCATCAATCATACATACAATTATATTGAACAAAGAGAAATAACTCTCAAAATCTAATATTTTCCTTTTCATCAAGAAAAAAAAATTATTAATAAGAACAAAGAAAAACGTCTATCACGAATTTGTTCAGCTGACCAAATTTTAAATGTACAATCATAAGAAACAGTTTCAATCCATTGTCCAACATAAGATAAATCAGCTGACATTATTTTTTGTGCATGATCTGTTGAAGAATAAAATGCTGACCATATCGGATGCATCCATAATTTAATTGTATTATCATAAGAAACAGTTACTAAATCATGTTCTTCAGTAACTAAAACGAAAAAATACAAAAATTCATCTAATCAAATGTTTTTAAACTTAAAACTATACGTTGAAATTTAACAGTTGAAACTAAATTTTGATGAGCAGCAATACTATAAACATTTTTAATTTGACTTAAATCCCAAATTTTACATGAATTATTTTCAGAACCAGTTGCTATATGATATCTAAATGATATGAAAAGAAGAAGTAAATATATGTTTTTATTTTAACAAACCCATTTGGTGAAAAATCAATAGATAATACTGGTTTAAGATGACCTTTTAAAAGCATAATACAACGACCTGTTCGAAGATCCCATGCATCCATTCCACTATATGAAATAAATATTTTATATGAAAATTTCAAATTATTTTTTTGTTAACATACGCAGTGCGCAGATAAACTTCCATCACATTGAAATGTAATATCATGAACTGCTTTTGAATGACTTTCTTGATGTAAAATTTCTTCTTGAGTTTCAAGATCCCATAAACGCCATGAATGATCATAACTATAAATAAGAAAATTTTTATTCAATTAAAGAAAAAATTGAGGTGGTTTTCTTTTTTTATTATTTACCAAGCTGTAGTTAAAAATCTTCCAGATGGATGAAATTTTACTTTTGATACACGAAATGGTGCATGACCTTAATAAAAACGATAAAAGATTCTTTGGTGCTGTGTTCATTTTTCAAATTAATTTAAATAACCTTCAATTTCAGCAATGGGTTCATCACTTTGAAGATTCCATAATTTAATACTTCCATCAAATGAACTAGATGCTAAATTAATCATTGCTGGATCTTGTGTTAATGTTGATTGAGGATGCCAACTAATACAACACGCATTATTTATATGACCACGGAATGTTTGGACATGTTTACAATTTGGTATTGTCCAAAGTTTACATAAACCACTCCTGAAATTAAACAAAAATATCTATCAGAAGAAAATTAAAATTTAGAATTCACATATGTAATTCTATACTATTACGCATTACGATCTCTACAGTAATAAATGTTGTTTATTTCATTGTAATAATGACATATTATGCGTGTATGGTTACATATTAGATTACATTTATTCATTAATATGCTACTATGACAAATAGTCATCAGTAACCAGAGGGTGTGGGTGTGGTCATTTCCTCAGACAAAGCACAGCGACACCCCACACCCATACACCCACACCCATAAATAGATTTTTGGTTTTCTTTGTTTAGATCAATCTCAACAAAAAAAAGGAAAAGTAAGTATTTTTCATAAAAAAAAGAACAATGTTGTGTTATTTGGAGCTGATCCAAAGCGATACCGAATGGCGCTGATTAGTCTGACTGGATGTCAGACTAATCAGTGCCATATGTATATATATATAATTACAGATTAAAAAATAAATGGTTGATGAGTGAAACATCCATGCTGTAGGTAATATCTGATTAACCTACAGAAATTCAGGAGAATCCCATCGGATCCTGTACTTTCCGACATTGAACAACTTCCTGTCGGAGTCCGCTACCAAGAAATCCGACAACTTCCGACAGGATCCTATCGAAAATTGTCGGATTATGTGGGGTTTCCTGTCGAATCCGATAGCATTCGACAGTCTGATTGCTCGTTTTGGGCAATTATTCACGAAAGAACGTGCGTTTCGCTGAAATATGTGAATATCTGAGTACAACTTTAATAATTCAATTGAACTTTCAGATTTAACACTACTGCGTGACTTAGTAGATTTAGTTTGATTTTAATT